GGGGGGGGGGGTGTGTGGAATTGTAAGTGTGGACAGACACAAGGAACCGTAACGTGTCCGATCTCAAAGTGGTCGTGGTTGGAATATGTGAGACAGTACATTCTTAAAAGTGAAATCAAGCTGCAAACATGAACGTGAATCTGATCAAAGAGAGTGGAATTGCCGTGAAGCCCGGCGGCATAAGTTGCAGGGAATACAGTGGCGAAACTAAATCCGTTAAGAGAATCCAAGGTCTGGTGGGGAGTTCCGGAATGAAAACGGCGCCTCCTTGCGGAGGATCACACCCAGCACCCAAGTGGGACGACTGAGCGAGTCACACTCTGACATTGGTTTGCTGTTAACTCAGTTCCCAAGTCAAAGAAAGGTGGTGGAACAGAAAGGCGAAGAGTCCAAGCATTTGTAGGTGTTTGAACAAAGTGGTTTCACACTTGACTGCGGAAGCTAGTTATAGCCCTTTACTGCAAGAACGGTAAGGTGCAAGGGTCCGAAGAACAGAACTGTTTAACAAACGCACTAGCACTTTACCAAAGCTAAGGAAACCTGTTTTGGGGTATATCATGCGAACAACCACTACTACGGAAACAACAAAAGGAAAAGTGGAGTCACAGCGTGCGCAAAAGTTTTCATCCGCGCAGGTACAGAAGTTTGCGTCCAAACTTCCAGCCAGTCGACTTCCCTAGCTTCGTTGGCGTGACTAGGAAATCAACCGTCACGCCCCCTGCGACTTAAAAGTTGAGAAAAACAGAAACTCTTAGTTACAGAGGTGGACACACACACGGATACCGGCAATATTCTCAAGGCAGAGCCTGCTGGCATGCTCTTGACGGTAGAAATCCTGCACCACCTCACCGCTGCACTTCCTTTTTTCTCTGTGGTGGTCCCAATGTTAAAGAGGGAGAATGAGGGCAGCAAGAAAAGTGTGTACACAGCAATGCAAGGTTTGTCCATCAACTGTATGGTTTCATTACGTTGTTTCTTCTTTAAATATAATGTAATAGTCATGATTTTCGGCGGCTTGACCACTTATGGCAACACCGAGGAATCCTTTTACGGCAGTAGCGTTGGGCCTCAAGACCATGGTTTCCGAGGAATCCTTTCCTACGAGACTTGGTCCTGATTGTTCTGCTCGTGCCCAGTCAAAGACTGACTTGACATATGTTCTATTTTTGTTTGTGTACTTTGTGTATTTGATCTAATCTTGAATTTGTTGAGGAGTCTTTGTTGAGGTTTCAATCTTTCTGTGAGTAGTTTGCCATCCAGAGGATATCTCATTATCACAGATCTATCATTGGAGCGCCCTTGCCGATCCAGCTCTGAGGAAATCGCCGCTCTTCCCAACAACTCTGAACTCTTGCACTATCCCGGTCCCAGAAATGGAGAAGGCGAAGAATCGCTTGGATGGAAGGTGTCAATCAACATTACGGCAAGTAAGTAGAAGAACATACCCCTCTACCTACCAATGCTGTCATGTATTCAAGCCTAACTCAAACTGAACTTTTTGTTTGAGACCCTTTCTTGTTGACAACCACAAACTGTGTGGTTGTTTTAACTACTGTATTATTTAATGCACTTAACCTTCAACTGTTGGTCGCTTCTTCATTGCAAGCGGTATTGGAAAACATAGTACTAGCGGTCGGCTTAAGTCGTATCAACCCCTGGAAAGTCGTATCGGGAGGCTGTGCGCTAGGCAAGAGTTGAGATTTGTAAGATTCGCACTTTGTAAAACCTACATGTTTTTTGTTTTTGTTGGCTGTGCGCTAGGTAAAAGTTGCAGCTTTCTATGATTGAATCTGACGGCCTTGGATCCGTTGCCATTTGCTCTATAGTAGGGATGCTGGTACATTTTGCGTTCCAGTGCAAACATGTTCAGTAATATTGTTCAAGGGATTTGTTTAGACTACTTGACTGCACACAACGGTGTTCCTTGCAAGTTCGGCTTGACTTTCGTGTACGCAAATATTTGCAGGTTAGGCCTTTGTGACGTTTTTGTTTCCACTTATGGCGAAGCATCCTCCTGCAGTGCCGACCGAATGCTTGGTACGCAGCTGTGTCTTGGCTGGCGAAGCTATTGTGGATGTTGTTGTAATTGCAGTCGACTTTGTTTCGGAATACAACTTCATGAAATGAAGGCTCCAACCTGGTGCTCTAAATGGGGCGTCTAGACAGTATTCTGTGTGACTTTGTCGCAGGGCAGCCTTGCTGAATGTTGAATCCTCATGTGTGAGCTGTTGATTTACTTCCACCGGCTGCTCATTATCACCGCATCACCATGATCGCCCTTACCTTCAATGTCATCATCCCTCCTGCTGATCTATCCGGCGTATTCACCCTTCATGGGATCCATTATGAAAAGCAGTTTCGGTCGCCTGGTTTGGCGCTGCCAGGAGAGCTGGGTGGCCCTGAGGCTGCCAGCTCGCTTGCAGTGCTAGCGTGTGTCGAGTGCTGCCGCAGAATTCCAGCTGCTTGCGTGGGTACTGCCAGGCGCGCTTTGCGCGCAATGTTTCGCAAAGCCAGGCTCAAGCTCGTTGCATGGTGTGCGGCTTGGCTATTTCTGCGGACAACAAGAGCCCTATGCCAGGATGCTGCTTTCATTGTCAATCCAAGCAAGAGGTTGAATTTGAGAATGTGCAGGAGCAAGAGCCAGCTTTGGAGACATCAGCTGGCTTGGCCTCTCCAAAGCCCATCACTAGAGAACCTTCGCCTCCCTCATTGCCTCCGCCAGCAGATCCCCCGCCAGATTCGTCTCCAACCTTGCGGCAGTGCTTAATGTTGGATCACGATTAGTAAAGGGGACTTCTATAATGCTAAATTTTCCAAAATCATTCAGACCACCCTGTTTGAAAAATGGTACCTCTATAATGCTATTTTTTTTGCCCTAAATTTTGAAATTGGAAGCCCAATTAATGAGGGTTTGAATTCCTTCTGAACCCTGTCCACCTGCACTCCCCCCCCTTCCTTAATAGCTTTCTCTAGGCTTCTTCAAAGCTGACAGCTGACCAAAACCACCAGTTCCCCAATTAAACCCTTTATAAAACATTGCTCCTAAACAAATTTTCAAGGTAGTAGACCAGGAAGGCACCTGATCCTCAATAAAAAAATTGTTTTTGGGACCTCTATTGTGAAAAGTTTTTCCACTGGAAAAAATGCACATCGAATCTCCCTTTACTTAGCTCCTGAGGCCAATGAAAGCTTGGGGCTTCTCTTGAGCTGAAGATCTGAGGCTGCAAAGCAAAAGGATTGCTGAGAACAATTACAATCTATGAAAGGAAAATGAATACTACAATCAATTACAAAAGATCCCTCACCAGGAATCCAGATTTGTTTTGGTGATAGTTTATTATAGAGGTCCCCCTGTTTGTTTGAGGGGGGGGGGACCCCCCTTTACTAATCAGGATCCAACATTAGAATGTAGAGCTGTCTCGCACATTGCGTTGAGACGTTGAGATTCTGGAGGAAGGATTTCCACAGAGTGATCTGGTGAAGTGTGGAATCTGGTGAAGTGTGGAATCACCATTCCCCAGTTCAGTAAGATAGCAGCTTTTGACATTGAATCACTCAAGAAACGTGTGCCGAAGGCACCTTTGGCCCACCATTTCAGGGCTGACTTGGATGATATCACTAGCAGCCGCAAGAAGCGCCTAGACTGGTTGACCTGTTGGGGGAAACAGAGAAAATCCAAGTTTATGGCGAAGCCTGCGCAGAAGTGAGCCGGAAACAGAGAGAAGAAAAGCATGCGCTTGGATGCGCAGAAGGCATAGGAGAACAGGAAATGGTGGGGCAGCTTCAGGGTCTGCAATTCACAATGCGCGGCTGTGCCACCAGGTTTGACTGTTGACATAGTAAGATAAGTGGTTGTCTGCTGGCGGCGTGCCATTGGGTTTTAGATCTTACCTTGGAAAATCATGAGCATCTTCTTGTGCTTGTGCCAATAGGGGCTACGTTTTTCCAAAAAGTATGTGGAAAGGTCCAATACTGGCTGTGCCAATGTGATTTGCCTTCAAATTTCATTCGAACAAGTCAGAATGTGTCAGGATTTACTGTTGTGCGCAATGTTTGCTGTTGTTCATACAAAACTCCTCATAGTAGCTGTTTGTGGCTGTGCCATGCAGAAGTCCATTTTCTGATGTGACTTTCGGGCCCCTGATGTGACTTCCAACTTTTCAGGCCGTACCGTTGGGATGATGTGACATAATCCGATTGATGTGACTTAGCCACCATGCTCGTATGGCTCATGGGAGCAAGTCTTAGTTTTGAAAACTGAGCAGCCTATCGGGTTTGCACTTTTGGAAATCTTACAATGCTGCACTTTCGGATTCATGAAAAGACAATATTCCCTGATTTCTTGATGATGAGGACCGTTGTCCTTTCTGTGGACTGAAGACTCCAAGATCAGTATGCCCAAACCTGAGATACGAGACTGTAGTTTAGGCCGCCTATCCCCCCCCCCCACACTCCTACATTCAGCTGCTCCTCTAGATGAGCAGTGGATCATATATTTAGATGAACAATGGCTGGCTGAAAGCTAAAATCGAAGCTTGCGAACAGATTCGAACTGGTTCGATCATCCGTGTGCAACTGAGAGCAAACCCTTTGAACCGTGTAACGCTTGATATTGGTTGAGCACGTTGAGGCGAATACTGAGCAGAAGCGAAGATGTTTGCATCGTTGATCATACAGCACTTACAATTCGGCCGTGCATCAAATCAGAACAGTTTTGTCCACTAGTTAGTAGTTAGTTGGGAGTAATTTGAATTGACACAACCTCAGCAGTTGTACGTGTACAGCAGTTTTCAGTCAGATGTTGCACACAACAAAATGAACATGCCAACCACATGCAGAAGTTCATACCAAACCAGAACCAGTCCAGCTGACCGACACCGCTCAGTGTTGTTGTTTTTGCTACAGGTGTATATATATATATACTGTACTCATGTGATCTCTGAGTGGACGTTTGGTTTTGGTCGGGACATGGGCTGAGATCCTTTTTTCAGAACAAGAAGAAAGATGCCTTCTGCAGACTACATCACTACATCCACTAAACTACCAGAGTGACCAAACATTTAACCGTCAGAAGAGCGCAAATCACAAGCCATCCACAACCCACGGTGCAGCCAGAACTTTTGATTCTGCAGATGTGGTTTTTTGTCGCACACACTCCATGATCCCAAAAAGAGCCCTCACCGTTTGCCTCACGGCTCAGTACCGCGATCTTTGTGTGTTCTTTTCAGATTTAGCCGTCAAGGTGTGGTGGAAAGAGGTCCAGTCAGCAGCACATCATAGCACAATTTCAATAAATTGGAAGACCACCACGAAACATGTGTGCCGGATATGTGCTGTAATTGCATTCAGATATGCCAAGGGCCAAGGGCTTGTGCGGAAATCAGACTTGTGCAAAGACTTTGGTCTCGTTCAAGCACAGTGTGAGTGCCATAATTACTGTATGTTCCTGTGTTTGTTCTGCCAACTAGAACTATGACAGACCATGTAGAGATTTGATTAGTATATAGATTGGTTTGTTATTCTTATGACAGTTCCCGCACCGAGTGAGATATGTCCCTTTGCCCGCAGGTTGACTCTGACAATACGGTTGACGGGCAGCCGGTAGACCAAACATTTTCCTCCAAGAAAGCGCTACCAGTGTCACCGAACGGATCTCGCAAACCAACACACCTTCGGAAGCTTATGACACGAAGTGTTGATGATTCTTGGCGCAAGTGCCGTTTCTGTCTCGATTCTTGCCCGACCTAACGGGCCATGCAAGCACCTTAGCACATCCAATCAGTTGTGCTCGTGTGTGTGTGTATATATAGTTATATAGTAATGTGTTAATTATAGCTTGTTATAATAGTCTTTTTTCCAAGGGGTCGTGCCTTGAAAAGACACCAGTCAGAGTCTTTCATGTCTTTCTAAATCGAAGAGCAGTAGTACGGTTGCCACATCATATGATTCCAAAAAATCCAAACGAAATCACAATGTGATTTCTTCTGTTTTGAACATGGTCAGATACTGAACACTTGGAAGCTGAAGCTCAATAACGATGACTCTGATCTTTGAGTTTAGCGCAGCATGTGTTTGAAAGCCCACTTCAGGTCGCCAACAGTTGCAAACTCGTGTACTTCTCCACTTCTCCTGACTCAAACTGCCTTGCACCAAGGATGTTTGGATCCAGAAAGCAAAGTCATTCTTGGACTACTTTGCAGGTTTTATGGTTGTTCTCAACACTATGTCGATGACCCTTGGATTTTTGCCTATGAACCTGCATTGGAGAACTGGAGAACTATGAAGAAACGCAGAAACATTGTTGTTCTGCATCATTCGTTGCTGGCTGCAATGGCTGAAAGATGTTTGCATATTAGCGCCCGGGATCGTTGTCGGTTCTATCAAGTCACAGGTCGAGTCGAGAGCTACAGTCTTATGATGCCAAGTCTGATCACTGATTGTTCACCTCAGAATCTCAGTTCAGGATATTGGAGCTTGAACTTCAAGGTACCGTTATTGGCATTGAACTTGGTATTGAAGAAGGACAAGTTGACAGCATCTTGGCTGGACAAGGCCAAGTGACGCCAAGCGATTCTGAAGCGGTCAGCACTCAGCAATCCATTCCTTGCTATACGGCACGAAAGTAGGTAGGTTCTTCCCACCTCCCAAGGTCGGTTGTTCCAGGAGAATCACTCGCCAAAATAGAGCTGACAAGAAACACCTGTATATGGGCCGAGGATGGCCCCATCAGTGATCCACCCAATGCCAATTAGTACATTTGGGGCCCAAAAGCTACTTGTATGACATATCCCCAGCAGCTTTTCTTTTGTAGCCTGAGCCTTGCTCCACCGTGACTTCTAGCTAAATATGTATATAAGATGTACACATACACACCACATACAGTATTACATATTGTATTCTCTTAAAAAGAGAGCCTCAGTCTACACTACTCATCAAGCGAGTCTTTGACTGTCAAGAGCCTTGGGCTCCTGTTTTGGCTGTAGTTTTTTAACACCAACAAGACACAATGTTCTTGCTTTGACTTTATCAAGAACGCTACTAGGGGCTCCTGGCCTTACTACTAGGAGCAAGGACGCTTTGACTTTATCACCAAATTGACTTCATCCCGCCGTTGCTGCGGTCAATTGAGATTCGGCCATGGACGCCTTCCGTACCTTGGACAAGGTCTTTGTCTTCATTTTCCTTGCAGACCCTGGGAAGCAAACATTGTTTTCCATGTGTTTGATGTTCCATCACAGTCTGGAGCAGAAGCAGCGTTGATGTGCAGTTGGCATAGCAATTATTTTGTTTATATAATTAATTGTTTATATATATACCATTCCACTCAAATCCATTTTAGACCAGAAGCTAAATTTTGTAAAGACAACAATTTCTTCAAGTTACTTGAGCTATATGTGATTCCTGGGGAACAAAGCCGAGTTTGTCGGCACACTGAGGAGTGGATCCTTCGCCTCGTTTTTGAGAGGATGGATTTCTGCAGGGACTATGCAAACATATTCGACACATGCCTGGTAGTCTCCAGCTTGGTTGATCTTTACTTCAGCTCCTAAGCCAAGCCAGTGCAGGTCTGAGGGCCGGTGTCTCGTGGCCAGGTTCAATCCTCGGGTGCAACAGTAGGCGGACAGGCAGGCCAATGGCAGGCCACTAAGCCACCCCTACAGCCTACCGCTACCTTTGGAGACGAACAATGGAACTGGAGATGTATTCCATCCATGGCCCTTTGCCACCCATGGCCCTTCTCATACACCATACACCACTGTGGAGTTTGATGCAACCAAGTTCAGCAATGTTGCAATGCCTGGTCCATTGAAGTGGCCGACAGTTGTGCAGTACAATTGGAGGATTTTTGACACTTCCCGTTTGCATACGCACAGTTGCCTTCTTCTTTGGCAAATTGGATAGTATGAGAGACAATATTGTGTTTGTGAGCACCAGTGTTGCATTGCGCTTGACGACATGAGTGTACACAAAACAGTAGCAACTTGCTCTTGTGTGCGTGGTCTCTACTCAGGAAGATACTAACACTGATGGCCTTTACTCGAGTGACAACTCTTCTTCTCGACTAAATTGCAGTTCCCGTTGTGGATCCTGCTGAACAGTACCCGGGTCCACTTGCTAACCCTAAACACAAAGAAAACAATAGCAAATTGCCATTTTGAAGAGATCAATGCCTTTGGATACATTATTTGTGAGTATATATCGTATGCTGTCCAAACTTAAGCTTGACTTTGCTCCTGTTCCGAGGCCTAATTACTGGCTCAGACGACGGCACACCCAAGGGTGTGGTGCTCTTGAATGCACAAAGCAGTCGAGTTGTTTTAATGCCCATGCACCCAATCCAAGACTGGGGTAGTCCAAGAGTGGGGTAGAGTGGGCCCATCAACAGTTAGACAGAGCGGCAAATATATTCATATGGCTAATATCATATGGTTGGTTTCTCAATCTCATTTTGTCAGGTTAAGTTAATTCCAAGAGGTACATAAGCAAATATTGCAGGTGTTTTGCACAGTAGATGGTCATGGTGTTGCTTATATATGTATATATGTATATATATATATATACACATATTATATATACTTATATATTAATGTTGTTCTTTTTCTGGCACAATTGTCGATGTCCATTCTGGCTGCAGTACAATAACAAGTGACCTGCGTGCAGATCAGCCAAAACTTGCTTGTGCTTTGAGCGGGCTGGTGCGGAGGTTATTCTGCGGATGATGCGCGCTTTGAAAGCCTTGCGTGCAATTCGTGTTGTGAGACTGGGCAAATTTAGCAAGTGATGCAATTGTGTAAGTGTAATGCTCCTTGATTTTATGTTGTAAGATGGGAAGATGCGACCTACGGAACCTGCCCCCAACTTATGTAGATTTTGCCCGTCAATCCACAATTAAGCTGCGGATCAGTGTGATTTGAGCTCAAGGAGATCCCTACGTTTCTTTGGCGGCCTCAGAGTGCTGGTGAAGGCTTGCATTTTGGCTTATCTAGGCTTGTTTCTTGCTATTGATTTGTCACCGCATTCCAATGCACCAGCCTTCAAAATCTCACCACGCTCCCGGCTTCCGATCTTCTCAAGCCTAGTCTTGTGGGAACCCTTAAGACAGCTCGCAGAGCATTTAGCTCCACAGTGACAACCCCACAATCAATTACAGTATATAGATTGAATGGTTGCTTAGAACGAGTTATACTTTTCCTATATGGTGGGTGGTAGTGGAGGGCGACAATTTTGCAATGACTGTCAGGGTTGATGTGCCTAAGAGCATGTTCAGATTCCGTCCGATTGTTTCTCAGATGGACCAAGGGCAGCAACATGCGGCAACGATGTTTGGGATTTTTGTTCACAAAGACTGCGAAAGCTATTGAATCGGTCGAACCTGGCCGCAATATTCGTCTATAAAAAGATGTTGGGCAGGCTGTTATAGCTAGCTCACGTTCGGTTGTGCATCAACTGAGGTACTTGCTTTCTGCCATCGCTTTGTTGGGCAATGGTACTTCTCGGACACTTGGAACTGAGCTGTTGCTGAAAGCTATACTGGGACTTCATACTTTGAGCTGCAAGATGCTGCACATATATAAATGCAAGAAAAATCTACTGTAGATTGCAGTTACGGTAACAGGGTTGCAACATATTGGGTAAACGGGGGGTTAGCCCGGAAAGCAACATGCGCAGGGCTAGAAAACCATGCGTTTTACCAGTGTTTTTCCTTTCGGGCCAACTCCAAAACGATGACTTGAGTGGATTGTTGACATGTATGTTTTGTACAACATCTTTGATTTGCCACAAACGTCTTGAAAGAACCCACAATGCACTCTACAAGAAAGGTGTAGTAAAAGACATGTCGTTTTGATGAAAGTTAGAATTCCAAACATCGATCAAGACCAACCGAACATTGACGAGACGATCAAAACGTAAGGGTGATCGACGGGTTAACAATGAAACCTCCTGAACAAATGACACAGTTGGATCGGAGACACGGCAGCAAACATTATATAATGTTTACATCCCCAAAAAAGGGGTCAGCCGCGAAAAATATCCTCAATTGCTGATTGGGGGAAGGGCACTTCAATCCGGACAAACGCAACAAAAGAACTAACGACAAACACAAACCAACCTCAAACGTGGAGCCCACCATGTCCTCTAAGCCGAAAGTGTAACGCGAGTGTCGAGTTATGCAAGTAGAAACACCAACGAAACTGTCCCCAGCCCCCCCCCCCCCCTGGAAAACCATGTTGGGTCGTTGGGAATGTTTGCTTTCCGGGCTAACCCCCCCCCCGTTGACACCCAACATATTGCTTTTCCTGTTGCCTCAACTTCTGACTTAAACCGGTTGTTTCAAGTTTCATATCGCTCTTAGGTTGGAGGCCATCGCTAGTAGGGTGGTGGCCATCGCTCTTACGTTGGAGGCCATTACTATTAGGTTGGTGTTTTCTTGACGTTTATTGCTCAATGGCAGTTGCCAGCTGCCAGACGAATGAAACCCGGGCTGGAGGGGCTGTGTGTGGACTACTGCAGATAGCTTCAGAATGATCAATGATGTTGGTTGATGTTTAAAAGAGATCTAGTGGTGTGTTGGTTTGTTTTGTTGTGTTGTGGAAATGCAGCCCTGCCCTGCTTCTTCAGTCTTCTTCAGTAGCATGACCGCTGACCGAACTCCTGTTTGAAGGCAGCGCATGTGGAAAATATCAGAATGATTGATGCTGATCATGAACAAACCTGAAGCATTCACATAAATTGATCATACACGCCGCTGCAGGTAAGAACAACACTATCACAACAAAATGCAATGTCAATCTTTCTTGCTGCACTGAAGTATGTCCAGACCTCCATTTGCTAGTCTGCTAGTTGTTGCTGTGCTGGATTGACAAGTGTAGAGACCAATGGGGCTGTGTTGTGTTGGAAACTTGTTATTTAGGCTGGCGACTAGCCAGCCCACTTAGCAAGGTCCAGCGCTGCCACAGCCATTTGGTAATGATAATGACACCAACATCTCGTTTGCTCGACGATCCTGTGCCCGTGCCCAATTAAGTTGGGCTCGAGCTGGTCCGGAATCGTTCCGCCAGAAACGAACATATTGTCAATGGGCGAGAATTGCGTGGCTTGGCCATGTTCTCTGCCATATATGGAGCACAGGTGCCACCTCAACAGTATATTTAGTCGGCCCAGAAACAAGTGGAACCATGGCAAAACCAGCTGAGCCGAGCCAACGAGCCAACCATTAAGATCAAAAACCATTTACTGGCTTGCCATGGCTTTGGGCTCAAGAGGTTTCAACAAGGGTTGCTGCAGGGGTCTTGGTTAGACAGGCTATGGTTCTCCAAGTGTTGATGGATGGAAAGGCTCAAGGCCCACACCTGGAAGACATTCCGATTTAAGTCTCTTTGCAGCCTACTTGACGGTTCGCTTTGGGATCTCTACCTGGTAAGAGCGGGTCGTTAGTTTTCTAGAGACTGTTTAGAAATACATCGTCGCTGGAGCTGAAGCTCCATTGACTTGCTCTTGACAAGATAGAGACTGGCGTGAACCCTGGAGCGAAGGTGCCAATCAAATCCTTCTCACGCTCTTAGCGACACATTGACCACAATGTGGCGCGGCGTGACATATCAGCGCCACAGCCCAGCAGCACCTAGATCGCCTTGCCGACGGCACAAAGGCAACATGCCTCAGACATACCTTAATACTCAGCGCCAGAGTCGACCAGAGTTGGATAGACTGTGTGCACCAATCGCCCTCGCAGACGTGGCGCCGCCACCTCTTTTTTCACTTATTCCAGCTCTCATCGCTAACATGTGTCGGGAAACTCAAGCCTTGGGTTGCCAGCATGATCGTTGCACAAATCCGGCAGGCCCTCGCATTGGATACACATGGAAGCCAGGTTCGTCATTGCATTGGAGCTCCTGTAGAGCAAAGGTGCAAAGAACAAAGCATAAACGGAGCACCGTGTATCTTCTCTTGTCTTATCACGAGCTTAAGTCATCTTCAGAAGCTCCAGCTCCGCGAGACTATGTATTTCTCAATTTGCAACCGTCAGCAGGAACCACCCGCTCTTACCAGGTAGAGATCTCAAAGCGCCCACTTTCGTTTGCAACGAGACTGAAACCGGAATGTCTTCCGGAGTGTGTGTGGCCTCGAGCCTTTCTGGTACTTTCTAGCAACACTTGGCAAAACCTGGAAAACGTTCTTGATATTTTTTTCGCATCACCTTTGGTTGCTCAACTGGCTAGGTGATTTTTCGACTGTGTCACCGCAAATAAGGATGTTCAAGTGGCACTTGTGTCGGTTCTCCAGTGTGCGGCATGCGGCTAAGAAAATGGCAATGTTCGGTTTTGCTGGTGCAAGGTTCCGAACCTCACTAAGTTGACTGGCTAGCCGCCAAGCAATGTAAGTGGGAATTGGACTGCACACCAAAAGGGAGAGAGATGTTGGTGTCATCGGAAGCAAAATTGTGTGGCAGCCTTGGACTTTGCTAACTGGGCTGGCTAGTTGCCAGCCTATAGTCAACATGTAACCTCTTTCCTTACTGTCATGTGGAAAGGCCCTAGCCTTGACCTGAAAACGTGCGTATTCCTCGCACCTGTCCCACGACAGCAACCACAGCGAGGCGTGGATAGTCAGCGCCACGCAAAAATCAACATTTATAACTGTTCTAAGGCATAATGGTGTTCTTACCTGCGCGGTGCATCATCATCAGGTTTGTTCATGATCACGACCACGTGCAGTAACTCGCGAAGCCCCTCCAGTCCCATACCTCAAGTTCCCTGCCAATTCGGGGTTTTGATGCAACATCTTGAGTGGATGGCTTTTCATAGCGATGTTCTACAAGTGGCAGGATAGTATCTAAAATCTTGGCAACATCTCAGCTGCAACTTGTATTTTCAGGCGAGCGCTCATTGATATATATAAATAGTAATAACAAATATATATATATATATATACAGTACATATTGGATGTCAATCAGACTAAGGGGCCCATCGAATGGCACAACCCCGACAGGTAAAGATTGTAAACACAACATGGCAAGCCCAACATAGGCACAATTGTGCAGCTGTGCAGGTTCGATTTTGCGTGGAATGTTTTGAATGGCTTTGGGCCCTGCCAGCCGAAAACCGCCATCAGTTTTTTCTCGGGCAAATGCATTTAACTCACCAAGACAGGACCATCTTTCCTCTAAACCAGGGCCAAAGGGATCACGTTATTGTTTATCATGATATCTCTCGTCAGAAAGAGTGACATTATGTTTTTTTTTTTCAGACCTTCCTTTTGCAGGTGGCTGCTTGCAGATCATAGGGTGTTTTGGGTTTGGTGTCCTCTTCGCTTCCATCTCACTTTGTTTCAGCTCAATCATTGAAACTCAACTTGCGCCAAGAATATACTTTGTGAACTGTCAAACATGTTGCACATCAACTGAACTATCCACCTCAAGTCATTTGGCACCATTTGGTTTGGACTCACCCAATACCGATACTTCATGTGGCTGTTGTGCTGTCATGGCCCATCTCATCGCAATCTCAAAGCTCACTAATTTATTTGCGCTGAAGCTACATCATCAACTAGCCTCCGTTGAATTGCTTTGTTCTATTGTACTTGCAGCTGGCATCACAGGAAAGTTATCTCATGTTGATTGAACTCATCTCTCAGCTTGGTTTCGTTCATTTTGCTTAGTTCAAGTCAGCCCATGTCATCTCGGTGTTGTCACCAAGCTGCAACGTACCAATGCACAGCTAGCTCTCACTTATATACCTCGCTCGGCCTCAAATGTGCCTCAAATACTTGGCTTTGCTGCTGGTACATGCCCTAGAAAATCAAGTCAATTGTTCAGTTGTTCAGAAGATTGAATTTTGTTTCTGGCATGTTGTACATGAACAGCAAAACGCAATGTCCGAGGTATCTTTATGTCGATGGGTGCCTTGATGCTTGGGAACCTCTTACAGTCCTACATGACTGACGTGTCATTGCCCTTGGACAACCGCTTGTGGCTTTGGGACCGTGACTTGGTGCCTGGCAGAGTTGTGGGGCAGTGTCCAAAAAATGGAATAAGGAAAGGTGAAATTGGTCGTCTTCTAGATCGATAAGACTTTTAAGACACACACCAGGCTAGCCATGATATGTTGAACCGACCTGATGCGAAACTGTGCTTTGCTGTCCCAGTGCAAAATTGCAGTGAGGTGTAAACGAGTCCCTGAAATTCCTGAAAGCTCAAACATATGTAAATTCTGTGTCCAGGGGTTCGGGAATACAACATGCTGAGGAACAAACTGAAACGATTGTTAGTTTGAACCTGTTTCCTTCTGGATTTTAGCATTGTTGATGTTGAAGATAGTGGAAGCCTTCTTCTTCCCGAATGCGTAGCGAAGGGTTCTCGTTTGACTCTGCAGATTCTAGGGGTCTGGTTGTGTGCGAGTGACTTTGCTCAACCGTGTGCAAGCATTGTGCGCAACCGTCATCACTGCCATTGGAAGAAGTGTTTGCAGAAGTCTTGGATGGAGGGGTGTCCGATTCATGTGAAAATATCACAGTAAACCGTGTGACAATTGGCTTTACTGCACAGTTCTAGCGTTTGGCGAGGTCGGCAGTTTGTATTGCTGTGTTATTGGAATTTGCGTTTCCAGGGTGGTCTTCTGGGCGCGTTGAGTGTTGTTGTTCCTTTGGGACTTGCATGGAATTTCTCTTGAAGGGCTTGCTTCGAAGCTGTGTTTTGGGAGAGATCTCAGCAAGAACTATGATTTTGGGTGATGTGAGGCAGGAAAGGGTCGAAGCCATTCCAAACTTGCAGTTTGGTGCAAAATGTTTGTTTTGCTGTAGACACGAAGGTGTGGCATAGTCACTTGTCGTGGTGTGTGGAATATTTTGTGGGTGTTGGAGAGGGGAAAATTTCGGGGCAGGCGCTTGTTTTGGAGATTTCCCGTTTCACTTTGGGTAAAGTCCCACACAAGGGTGTCAAGCACCTTCTTCATCCACCTCCTGATAAGTGATTCGGACTCCAGGGGTGCGAAAGGGTGAAGACAGATTAGTGCAACTGCGTGAAGAATGCATGCACAAAACAGACGGCACAAGATTTCAAAAAGAATACGCCTACTGAGGCGGAAGATTGGCGAGGACAGGCCTACAAAAGATCAGACAAGATCCTGCTGGCCATCAAGACCCAAAGGACCCAAAGGCCAACTTGAAAGCATCGTCAGCACATCCCTTTCCAAGGCTGCTTCTTGATCACTTCATGCTATGAACCTGGCGGCTGAGACCCCCATGAAGCTTGCCACCTTCTGCTTCTGTGGATCTTTTCCACGGCCGCAGGGTTCTGGCCTTTGCGTTCGCAGTGGCCTCCTTGGCATTGGCCTTCTCAAGGCCCTCGTTACGATCGATACCCTAAAGCGTCTGGCAAGACTTCAGCCTCTTGCTTTTCCAAGCCTGTTGGTACGGTCTCTGCCTTTGGTGGCAAAGCTTTTTCATTTGCCCCACTGACCTTTCCAGGGCACGTCCATGCATGAGCTTTATTTTCTATCTGACATAAGCGCTGACATTCTTTCTGCCACTCTTTCTACCTGCTTCACTGCAATCGGGCGAAGCCCACTGTACAAGGATCGCACATGCCCTGTTTTGTCCATGTCTCATCATATAGGCAAGGCAGCTCAGGGAAGACTGTGCCAAGAGCGTCGCTGTTGAACAGCCGATTCTTGGAAAACAATCATGACACTGGGACAATATATATGTTGCTCATGCCTTTTGCGGGGCTGAGTGCCTGCTTGTGCCTTGTGCCTTGGAAAAGGTACGTGAGGCTCTTGGACAAGGAGTTGTAGGAACTTGCAAGGTCCTTGCGAAAGGGTATGTTGCTAGCATTCCGAAAGGCAGGATTGCAGTCTCGGAGTAAGACAGAATTGAAAGGGCATGGGTGCATGTATCTGTGGGGGTGCATGGGTTTGCTTGCTACTTAACTACTGTAGTTTCTTTGGCGCCTGTTTGGTCAATCGCGTGCGCAAGAACTGAGATGCTGTCGGCTGAACTCCCGCTTCAGGTCGAAACTATTCTTCGCGTTCTTGCAGGCATGGCTCCTCGACCGGAAGCACCAGACGAGGTGGGTGATCTCGTCTCTGTTTCCGGAAATGCCCGTCGACTGCTTCCTCTCCTACACTGATACGTCTTGTTTCCGGCTCTGAGTGGCCAGGCGATTGAGACAGACTCACTTTCAAAAATTGGTTTCTATCTACCCGCAATGCTGATGGTGCTGCCAGTGCCCGAGCGGAAGGTCTTGTTGCCACTTATATGACTTGCTATCCAAGCTTCGTAACGAACCAGCTTCTCACGCGCCATAGCTGGCGGTGCGGCCTGAAGCGAAGTTGCTCTCATTTTTGTGAACCTGTTGATCCTGCCACGCATCACACTCTTTGGAGATGCAATCATTTTAGCACTTTGAAGCTTCTTCCCGAGTAGGATGCAATCATGGTTGCGCTGATGAGCAGCTCCGCAAAGCAGGGTGGCCGTTTACCCAACATCACTTGTAAAGATATTAAGATGGCTGCCATGGAAATGTCCAAGTGTGGATCTCCTGGATCTCCCACAAGAAGGATTTGCTCGGTTGGCCCAACTGTATGGTTCGTTTGAAAGATGTGGAAAATGCCTGGCATCTCGTTTTCCTACTGAAAAAAGAAGACGAAGTTGCCCAACCCTTTGGAAACCAGACCTATCTGCGCAGGTATAGTGTTGTATACCTCACCTTCGGGATTTCCTCGTCCAGCTTTTGGGTCCTCATCAGTCGATCAGTCGGGGAGCACTGGGGGACCTAAGGTTCAAGATCTTTTGATTTGCTGGCGTTAACAATTTGATGACTAGGACTAGGATTTCAGAAAGCGGTCCATGGACTATGTGCTTCATATCACTATTATGGAACATTTCAGAGTTCCTCACTGAATTTGTCAACTCATCAAGCGGAATATATATGAAAATTCTACGTATGTGAAAATCTCAACATAACTAGCACGACTCTCTGAATAAGTCCGATAAGTATAAGCATGTTTTTGGCAGTTTTCATGGTTGCTATTGACTTATAACTCTGGTTGCGCCACTCATATGTCATGTTATAAGTGAAAGAACATACGGTAGTCAACGAACGATGGTGTACGTTCGCTGGGGCGGTTCGCCCCAACCACTAAAAGGGTTTACCGTAAGGCGATGGGTGGTCTCTCATCGCTCTCTCACTGGTGTTGTCCATCGTTCAAAGATTCCAGTCACAAAGCATCCCCCCAAGCCAAGACCTTGCTTGAGATAGATGACCGCGCTTCATCCTTAGCAAAAATCTGGAAACCACAATATCATGCTTTACAATTGAGGAACAGATTGGAAATTGTGACTCGTATGAAAACCAACCAATCCAAAACTCAACCTATAGCTTGTTCTGAATAAGCTTTTAGGACTTTCAGGCGTGAGGGATGAAAGGCTCAACGTGTGGGTTCCGTCTTGGGGGTGTCTTGGGTATACTCTTTCACGCGCCAAATCCGAATCTGCTCATGAAATCAATCGTGCCAACAGCTTGTCTAGCGCATCGGGATGCTTCCTGTGTCTCTGCGTTTTCGCGCCACTTTGGCTTCGCTGGTTCTTACTCCTAGGGCGTCCTGGGGGGTTATCCTCAACGGTTTGGTTCCGGATAACGCTGCCTTGTCTCAAGCGTTCAAGACTTCGATTCATTTCCCTATCGTCGACTTGCGCTTGTCCACTGAACTCTGTCGCTTCTTCCTGTCCGGATTTGCAGTTTGTTGCCTATCAAAACCTGTTGGTTGCTCTCACTAGGTGGCGGGTCAAGCTCCTTTGGTCTCAGCTCTTCATCGTACCTTGTCCAAGTTGGGGCGCACTGTCAGCGAGGGGGGTCATGTCACCTGGTCCTCTTGGGGAATGGCGCGCCGCAGGTCCTGTCGCTTGCTCAGCTGACGCCGTGGTCCGGTGCAGCTACAACTTTGCGCGCGTGTGCAGAAATGACGTTGGAGCTGTGTTACTGGAATTTGCGTTTCCAGGGTGGTCTTTTGGACGCGTTGCGCGTGGCTGTGCGCCCTCGGGCGCGTGTCACCCAAGATTGCCCCCAGTCGTGTCCCACAAGAATGTCCTAGAAGAGTGTTGCGCAAGAGTGTCCTACAAACGTGTCACAACTCAATGGTTGAAATACTTGCATTGTCCTCCATTCAGGTCGTGGGTTCAGTTCAGATTCTAGATAGATCCAACTCAGGCAAGGCAGTTTACCCGATGGAAGACTGTCCAGCAGTGTGGTTGGGCAGCTGAGGTTATGGCACCGCCTATCGAGCGACATATACCCTTTTTGAAATAACATTTGCAGGGAATTGGCCTACAAGAGTCTTGGCCTTCGAGCCGGCTGTGGCTTTGTTTCGGTTGTTTTGGGATGTTTTTGGCAGATGACACGCGACGGGCGCCAAACTCGGTTGGCTGGATCAGCCGAGCCCAACTTCAACAGTTTTGGTTTTTGGTGTATGTGTTTTTGGAAATCGTGTTCCCGCAAAACCCAAACTGGATGCGCAGAATGATGTGAAGGGATTTGTTTGTCACCGTGACACTTCAGTCTGGGTGCTGTATGGGGTGCTGTGACAGAGGCCTTCAAGAAGTTAGAAACACATTAAAAATGGATCATCAACGAACTACGACCCATTTTGTTTATTGGATTTGTGTTGCTCGTGTTATACCGTACGCCTTTCACGGTCAAGGCGCCCGACCTGTACTTGAGAAAGCGAACCACGTTTTTGTGATATTTTTGGTGTTTCTTGGCTTGATTGGAACATGACTCACGGAGGTGGAATAGGGGTTTCTATGGATTGTTTGTGATAATTTTACAGGGGTTGGATGAAAATATGGGATTCATGCGCTGCATCACTTTTCCATGTATTTATCAATTACTGTCTTATGTTGATGTAGAATCATTATGGTGTTTGCGCGCCGGATTAGTACGCAAGGTTTCCATCACGCAAAACTAGTTTAGCGTCAACCTGGTTTCACTGATAGATCCTGATAGTGTGGGGCAAAAAGAGGGGTTGCTCATGGTTGTATAGAGGCAATAAATTGCCCGATAATGTGGACCCACTTCTAGCCCTCTGAGATCGGCTGCAAGACCTGTTTGCAGAAAAGGGAAGCATGTCGCCAATACATAGGGGCGGGATGACCATGCAATAATTTGCACAATCGCAATGAATAATAGGACTTGCGCAACCATTGGCACTGTCAAGCAACTGTGACCAATACCATTGAAGTTGTTAGAACTGCATGGGTTTGTTGCTTTCCCGTTGACCACGCGCAATACCTCAAGTGTCTTCGAATCTGACGTTTCACTGCAGCACTGTGTACATCTGGGAGATGTAACCTCATCTCCATGAATGTTTTCCTCGCATTAAGGTTGTATGTGACAGTTGTGGTCTTTGTGCCTTGGATTTACTTCAGACACAGCTGTGGATCCAAAAACACTAGAAAGAACAGGCTGCTTGATGGTCATTCAAGAGCAGCTTGAGCTCGGCTCATGTTGTTGGCGTCATCCTTGTTTCAGCAAGTCGTCGGTGCTCCTCAGTCTTCCAATGACATTAAAAGTGATATTTGCCCAAAGGCAGTGATCAGGGTCATCACGGCGATTTTTTTGAAGGATCGGGATGCAACGCCGAAGGAATTGGATGTTTGGGGGGTTGGTCAGACATTGAAACGACTCAGTGCATTTTGACTTGTCTATATGCTTTAATCAGTAATCCCGTTTTACGGTGGCGCAAAAGAATCCAGTATTGATGTTTTTTCTTTGAGCAGCGACAGAGCTGATATAATGGAATACATTCAGCAACTCAAAGGTTGGTTTGCGCAGCATGGTAGAGAGATCACCGGTTTCAAAACGAAAACAAGGACTGTGAAGTGTGAAGAACATTATGTTGATTGCTTGGAGCCTTTTTGCGAAGATCAGGAACTGAAGACTGGAGCCTGTGGAAGTTTATGCCTAGGGACTGAAAACCGGACCCACTTTTCAGACATTGTTGGACCCCACGATGCTAGGTGATGTCTTCACATGGTGTTGGGTGGGGTGGGGACCAGTGTAATTTTGTTCTCGCTTTCATATACGCCTCACGCTTTAGTTTTGTTGTTTCGGTTGTCGGGTGTTCCCTGTCCTCCTCGTTTTTTGTGTCTTCTTCCTTTGTGGCGCATCACCCCTTTTCTTTAGACCAGTACGTAGACGGTTTAACTCGTGATTGTTCTGACCCTTTAGTTTCTTCTGTTCACACTTTGGTGCATGTGGTTGAGGTTTTCTTTTTCGGACGGAAACTAACTCCTTTTCTGTTGGTGTTGAGTCGGCGTTTGTTGCGTAGTTGTAGCAGCTCCATGTCGGATGTGCCTTTGCGTGGCCGCTCACGTTCCCGGGCATCCTCTCGTTCTCGATCACGGTCTTCTCGGCGTGCTTTCGTAACACCTCCGCGGCGGCGTCAGATCCTTGTCGATGTGTGTGTGTGTTTTGCACAGCCTGTCATTTGTCAAAAAGATTTGCACTCGGAGCCTGACAGGGGACAGCTGGTTACATTTAAAAACATGCAACTTGAGGTGTCAAGGAAAAAAAGCCTTTTTTCTCAGGCAAAACGCATGCAAAAACACTGCGTTTACCAATGACTTTGACATGAGAACATGCAAAGCAGGGTACGGTTTCCCATCCGTACGGATGTTTATAAAGGTCATACAATTCATAAGCATTAGGATGTTGGTTCATGTGTTATATATTTTTCCCCACCTGCCAGGTGAGGGTTGTTAGATTTTATCACAGTTGTTCTTCCTCTTCCTTCCTTCCTTCCTTCCTTCCTTCCTTCCTTCCTTCCTTCCTTCCTTCCTTCCTTCCTTCCTTCCTTCCTCCTTGCTTCCTTCCTCGCCAACCTCCTCGCCAATCTTCATCGCCAATCTTCATCACCAATCTTCATCGCCAATCTTCTTCGCCAATCTGCTTCGCCAATCTGCTTCGCCGATCTTGTCTGGCAAGCTCCGGATCGCAGTGTGCACCCCTGGACCCCAACCGCAAGGATCCGATCGCAGTGTGCACCCCTGGACCTCAACCGCAAGGATCCGATCGCAGTGTGCATGGACCTCAACCGCAAGGATCCGATCGCAGCGTGCACCTGGACCTCAACCGCAAGGATCCGAGCGCAGTGTGCACCCCTGGACCTCAACCGCGCAAGGATCCCCTCGCAGTGTGCACCCCTGCGCAACCGCAAGGATCCGATCGCAGTGTGCACCGCTGGACCTCAACCGCAAGGATCCGATCGCAGTGCGCACCGCTGGACCTCAACCAGATAGTTTGCCAGATAAAATGCCAGATAGATTGCCAGATAGAATGCCAGATAGACACAACACCACAAATACGCAACCGCAAACACGCAACCACAAACACACAACCACAAACACACAACCACAAACACACAACCACAAACACACAACCACAAACGCAACCACAAACACACAACCACAAGCACAATTACCAACACACAACCACAACACACAACCACAAACACACAACCACAAACACACAACTACAAACACACAACCACAAACACACAACCACAAACACACAACCACAAA